TATCCTAATTCTACGCTGCATCATCCGGTCCTGATTATATGTTTTAGATTTACAACAAGGACTATTTTTTTTTTTTTGGTGAATTTACAACAAGGACTATGAGTGATGGAAAATTTCTTTGTTAAAGTACATAGTTAAAGAATTTCCATATTTGAAAGGGCACTCGATTTGGCGTATCATCCAAAAGTTTAAGTACTCTTAAGCCATTTTTAAGAAAATCCTTTTTTTTTTGTGGCCACGATTTGATTAAGTGGAAACCCCTACTTAAGAGTACGCGCGTTATATGCACTCAACACAAATCAGTTTATCTTTTTTTTTTGTTTTCATTTAAGAAATTTCATTCTTGTATCGATTAGCACAACTGATCATTTGTTTGGTAGACAAATGTAAATTTAAAACTTCTATAATTCGGTTAAAATTGTGTGAATAATAGTATAAATATTATATTTAAATATTCATTTTTACTAGAAAAGTTATAAGTCCTTTTGTCTCATTATTTTTTTCTTAATAAGAAAATAAACGAAGCAAAAAAATAGGAAGTTAAATATGTTTTTCATTATCTAGACCAAAGTCGGCTTTGTAATATGGCCTTATTATTAGACTAAGAATACTTTATGGAATTTTTTTTGCCCCTACAAATTATAAGTAATTTTTGACACCAAGACCGAGTTTCTTCTGTTTGTGCTCTCATGAATTGACATAATCGAGACTTAAAATCGTGAATTTAAAATGTTTCACCATGAAATATGTTGTAGTTCACTAATTAAGCTATTGAGACTTATTTTTATGACATAATTTATTTGATAAAAGATTTACAACATAAAAAAAAATTGTCTATTAAATCATTAGAAATTATTTGAATATAAATGATTATTTTACTATCTATGACAAGTGAATATAACTTTATGTACCACTTTAAAACACAATAAAATGATTTTACGAACGATTTTAAAACAGACATTTATGTTTGCACCACAAAAATAGATTAGTTTTTACTTACACCACATTTATCTTTACCTTTACATGAAATCACAATAAATGTTTCTAATATCAAAGTTGAATATTTTCACTAAAAAAATGCTTTTATTAATCAAAATAATTTGTATTATTTCAAAATGGAATCTCATACTTGATATGAAAACTTTGGTTAATCACAAGATCAAAAATATTCACTTTAAAATGGTGATGCGCACGCGCAAGGAGGACCGTGGAGAGTAGGAATCTTAGAAGATGCAGAAAAGTGGAAACGTGGACTCCTCGCAACTTCACAATAAGCAAATGTCTAAAAAGGGTAAAAGCGTCTTGCATTAGGTTATGCCATGGAACCTCAAATTAGGAAAAAACAAAGCTTATGGGGTTTTAATGACACAGTCAAGTTGCTTAAGCTTCATTTGTATGAGTGGCTAAAAGAGTGACATCGTCCATTAGATGTGTATGGGGACCTTATGTGAAGGAACAACACACGCATGTGAATAAGTGATCCCAACAACTAATTTTTATTTAAAAAAACCAACTAATTTAGTGTTTATTTTAGATATCCACTATGACTAATCGAGTGGTTAAGCAAATTCTTTGATTTTGCTAACCAATTCTATTAATGAATTCGGACCGAAGTTTGGCCCATTCACATCACACGTTGAATAGCTATTTAATCGTTTTTTCGATGATGTTTTCCCCGTATTCATTAAGGTTCGACATTTGTTTTGTTTTAGAGTTTCAAACTTTTTAAAATAGAGATTGCTATATTTTTTTCAATATATAGAGGAAAAATATAGAGTTGTTATATTTTACTTTAAAATAGAGGAAAAATAACATTTTTCTAAAATAGAAAATACATTGGAAAAAATAGATGATTGTTATTTTAGGATAGAAAATAAAGAAATATATTAAAAATGGTCTCAGGGCCGGCCCT